GTGCGTGTGCACGTACACGCGCGTGCGTGCGTGCGTGTGCACGTACACGTGCGTGCGTGCGTGCGTGTGCACGTACACGTGCGTGCGTGCGTGTGCACGTACACGTGCGTGCATGAGTGTGTGCGTGCGTGCGTGCGTGCGTGCGTGTGTACGTACACGTGCGTGCGTGCGTGCGTGTGCTTGTATCGAACAATATCACGCATCTGCTTGCTGCCAACCGTTAAACTGCGCATGTGCGCATATGACGTCAATGTTTATGAACATGAAACATCGCTTTACAATCGCATACTTTTGCAATCACAATTACTTATACAATACATTTTACATTTACAATACATTTTACAATACATTTACAATACATTTTACAATACATTTACAATACATTTTACATTTACAATACATTTTACAGTAGGAACCTACATTTACAATACATTTACAATACTTTTTTAACTTTTACTTTTGCTCAAGGGGTCGTTGTCGTAACAGGTACTACAGATATGTACCCGAGGTACATATATGTATACACAAAGTGTACCAGACTTGTACTACAGAAGTGTACCCTAACACTAACACTAACCTTAATCCTAACCCTAACCCTAACCCTAACTCTAACCCTAACGCTAACCCTAAACATATATACCTCATATAAAAATATAAACATAATACTAAACAACCTAAAACTACCTCCTAATTATATAAAAATATAAACATAATACTAAACAACCTAAAACTACCTCGGGTACATATCTGTAGTACCTGTTACGACAACGACCCTTCGTGCTTTACTTTTACATACAATACTACAATTACAATACTTTTACAATATATTTTGTATTCATGAAAATGGATAACTACACAAAAGGATATTATACACAAAAAGTATGACTAGCACACTTACTGAAGCGGTACATTGTAAAGCTTGTTAGAGTTACAAAGTATGATAATGTAATATTTACATGCCTGTCATTAATTCTAATAGTAATATTCCGATATTCTAAATGTTCCGATAATAGTAATATTCCGATATGTTTGAAACTGAATCGTAGGCTATACGAATGAATCATATATGGCGCCAGGGACATGTTCTGTGCAGGACCAATCGACTTCGCCCCTTGCCAATGTTTTGATATCTCACGCGTGAGGGTCGAAGCTCAGCTGTCAGGGCCGTCCTTGGGCCATTATAGTGTTTGCTAATTCTAAGTTTACAGTCATAAGCCTCCGTGGCACAGGTAAGTACTATTACAAACAGCGCACGAACCATCAACCATGCATCAGTATTATACTAATATCTATCACTGCTAATACTAATATAGTACTGTGTATCACTACTTAGTACTTTGTTCAAATGCCGCGCTCACTCACTGATTGTGTACACAGGCACTTGGAACGTCTCAATAAAAAAATAATGGTAAATAAACACGAAATGTACCAAAGTCTTAATGTTTCTCTACTGTATTTCGCCTATGATCACCTGTAAATGAAGCCTCGGTCTCCACAACGAACCGACGACGCAATTGTTGCACGAACGCCTGTTGTGGTTTGGCTAGAATCGGTATAATACTAATACTAATAGCCATGAAAATCGACTTCAAATCGGAAGAGGTTCTGCATAACAAGCTCTTTAATTCAGGCATGACGTGTCCGGACCTCGCTTTACCTAGCAGTCCATAACAAGGACTAAAACTTTCATGACGCAGTGACGTTACACGTAATAGTATAGTTCCACTATCCATCAACATGCCTTTCAAGAGAAGAAACAAAACATAAGAATAAAACTAAAAATTATCCAAAAGTGATGATGCAATCGAGTACAAAGGTTATCTGACCTGTATCCTAAAATACATGACATTATTACTGGCTTCCAAAGAATTACCAATACTAGAGGTATATGTGGTTTAGTGGTAGGTGTATGTGACTATACTCTAGGATTGATTTCATGTGTATCTGACTATCTGGTATTCGCTTTGACCACTCTACCAAATCTGGTAACATATGGCTTGTTTGGGCTTCCAGGGTCCATTGCTGGTTGGTCTGTGTTTTATGGTGTGTATTCTGTTTCATAAATTTCGAGATTCAAATTCATTCGATGCGTGAATCGAAATGAATCGATGCAGTCATTCGATGCGTTGAATCGAATCATTCGATGCGTGAATCGAATGATCGATTGCATCATTCGACGTCACTGGGATCGAATCTTCGATTCACGCATCGAATCATTCGATTCACGCATCGAATCATTCGATTCACGCATCGAATCAAAATTCGATGCATCATTCGATGCGTGAATCGACGATCGATTGATGCGTGAATCGAATGAATTCGAGCGTGAATCGAAATGATTACAGATGCGATGAAATACGAAATGTGCGAGTCGAGAATCATTGCGATTCAGCGCAAGTCGAAATCAATTACGATTCAGCGCATCGAATGCAATTCGATTCACGCACTACGCCAATCATTCGATTCCACAGCATTCGAATCTTCGACTGCATCATTTCGACTGCGGTGAATCGAATGATTACGATTGCGCGAATCGAATGATTCCGATGCATCGCATTCGATCTACCCACTCATCGTAATCATCTCGGATTCACGCATCGAATTCATTCGATTCACACATTCGAATGATGCATCGAATGATTCGAATGCGTGAATCGAATGATTCGAGTGAGTCGGATCGATCAATGATTCGATAGCCGTGAATCGAATGATTCGATGCGTGAATCGAAATGGATGCCATCGAATCAATTACGATTCGCGCATCGAATGCAATATCGATTCACGCATCGAATCTATTCGATTCTACCCAGCATCGAAATCATTTCGATCACGCATCGAATCATTCGATGCACGTCATTCGATCGTGAATCGAATGATTCGATGCGCGAATCGGAATGGATTCGATGGCATCTCATTCGATGCATCATTCGATTCAAACAAGCATCGAATGATTCGAATTTCACAGCTGCGAATCAATTTCGATATCAACGCATTGAATCATCGATTCCTAACGCATCGAATGAATTCGATGCATCAATTCGAGCGTTGAATCGAATGATTCGATGCGGTGGGAAAAAAAATCGATCATTCCGATGCGTGAATCGGAATGATGCAATCGAATCATTCGAGCTTCGGCGCATCGAATCATTCGAATCTCACGCATCGATGATGCATCGAGAGTATGATTCGAATGCGAGTGAATCGAATATTCGACTGCAGTGACAGTCAGAACAATAATATGCGATAAACTCGAATGTTATATGATGATGAAAATGCGAAAGATGTTATGGATATGTGATAGAATCGAAATGTTTAATCGATAAAATCAACACATAAAAACAAAAATCGAATATTGGACACACCAACAACATGCCATTAGTGTTTAACCACCTGGTTTCCGGTACTGTCACAGGAAGGTTGTACACTGTGTTCGTCTCATTGCGGCCA